CCAAAAAAAAAAAAAAAAAAAAGACTTCATAACATAAAGGTGTTGCCTAAAGGATACTGAAAGGATCCATGCACCGAAAAACCAAATACTGTATTTTCAAGTCTGTTTCACCAGATCCCAAATGGCCTATTTCCATCCCAAAGTATGGAAATGTTTATATCCACATAATAATTAGCAACTAAGTTCTAGGCACCCTGCTAAGTCTTTCATGAGGACCATCCAATGTAATTTACATATTCCTCAGATCCTCACTACAACTTTGCAGATAATATGCGAATTCTACCCACGAAGCAAGTGGTGGGACCCATATTCCAGATGCCATACTATTTGTATGAAATGCCACTTCACTGTAAAAGTTTAGCAGGAAGGTCTGAAAAACGAAAAAGTCACTTAAAAGTTCCCTCACCATATCCCCAAATTTTAGCCTATAAACCAAAAGAGGCTTCACTAGAAAAAAGCCAAGGACATTCCGATTGCTATAATTTAAAAAGATTTCTTTTAAAGTTTACCCTCAAGATACCATTACACAGAAGTTGCGATTTTTAAACGAAATGAGTGAAATCTAGTCTGCGTTTTGAAGCTCCAACGACTCCTGGACTGAGGGTCTGAAAAAGGACATGGGTCTAGGAGTATAAAGAACCCGCCAGGCAGACGACAGCCGCTGCCACTAGGACCACACCCCACACCAGCCCAACCTATCAGACACCAGTTTCCGGGTTTGGGGCGCGGTAGCGGCCCGAGTCACGTGGATCCATTGGCACGTGACACGTCCGTGAGCCTCTCATAGGAAGGCGCCGTCTCTGTAGGGGTCGTAGAGAAAGGGGGCGTGTGGGGCAAGATGGCGGCACACCTGTCCTACGGGCGAGTGAATCTGAACGTGCTACGCGAGGCGGTGCGTCGCGAGCTGCGCGAGTTCCTGGACAAGTGTGCTGGAAGCAAGGTGAGGGGTGGGAGGCGACTACACCCTAGCCTCCTGTCATCCGGCCTGGCTTAATCCTGCTCTGCCTGCGTGCATTCGCGGTGTACGAGTTCCTCTGGGCTTCCCCGGAGGCGAGACTCGTACGGCGGGGAGGGCCTGGGCATGTACCACTGAGCCGGCTTAGCACCACGTGTGTTTCTTTGACAACAGAATAAGCCACTGTGATAGCCCAGCCCCTAGTGAACCGGTTTATGTCAGGTGCCCTCCGGGTCTGGGGAGGGAGGGGACGGTGGGAGGCCGAAGAATATCGATGGTCTAAGTGTCTATTGTAGTGACGGTACGTGCTTTCGAAAGTCTGAAGCACCAACACCTAACTATCTGTGCTTATACAGATTATGGGAGAAATTTTAGTTTTAGAGGTTTTAATCCGGCTTCCTAAAATAGGATTATTTCACCTTTTTAAGCCCCCAGTTCCCAAGAGATTTTTATAGGATTTATTTTAAGTGGTGTCACGTCCCTCTCGTCGTCTTGTGATTTTTATGGCAGTCCAACTGGAGAGAAAAGTAGATATGGGGAACCTCCAGAATTCGACTAGAACCCCAAGAGGTGGAATGGGTGCTAGCAGCCATTGAGAGAAGAAAGAGGGTTAAATCGTAGGGATCCAGTTTAAAATTAGCAAATGATCCTGGGATCTGAATTAGGTCATGCATTGTATCAGTGTCGACATCCTGTTTGTAATATTGTATAGTTTTGAAAAAAAATTCTTTTTTTGAGACAGTTTCACATGTCGCCCTCCGTTAGCGTGCTGCGGCGTCACAGCCCACAGCAACCTCAAACACTTGGGCTTAAGCAGTTCTCTTGCCTCAGCCTCCCAAGTAGCTAGGACTACAGGCGTCTGCCACAACGCCTGGCTGGTTTTTTTGTTGTAGCTGTCGTTGTTTGGCAGGCCCGGCTGGAACCCGTCAGCTCCCGTGTATGTGGTGGGCGCCCTGGCCGCTGGGCTACAGATGCCGAGCCTAAATTTTTTTTTTAATTACTGGAGGAAGCTGGACAAAGTGTATACACACTCTGTATTATTTCTTATAACTGAATGTTAACCTACAATTATTTATTTTGAGACAGAGCCTGCTCTGTTGCCCAGGTTAGAGTGCCTTGGCATCAGCCTAGCTCACAGCAACTTCGAACTCCTGTGCTCAAGTGATCCTCTTACCTCAGACTCCCCAGTAGTTGGGACTATAGGCACCTGCCACTAATCCTGGCTAGTTTTTCTATTTTTAGTAGAGATGGAGTCTCCATTCTTGCTCCCATGGGTCTTGAACTGAACTCAAGCAGTCCACCCACTTCAGCCTCCCAAAGTGCTCAGATTACAGATCTGAGCGGTCTCACTAGTAATCTTCCTGTGACCATCAGTAGCATCACTTGCCCCGATGTTATTATTATAAAATTTGTCACCCCTGGTAGAGTACCATAGTGTCACAGCTCACAACAACCTTAAACTCTTAGACTTAAGTGATTCTCTTGCCTCAGCCTTCCTGAGTAGCTGGTACTACAGACACCTGCTACAACACACAACTATTTTTGGTTGTAGTTGTTGTTTAGCAGGCCGGGGCCAGGCTTGAACCCACCAGCCTAGTTGAATGTGGCCGGCGCCCTACTCACTGAGCTACAGGCTTCGAGGTCCTGATGTTATATTTCGACACAGTATGTAAATGTGCTTAGATCTAATGGAAATTTTTGTAAACTCATTAGAATTTGAAACAAATATTCCTGCTGATATGACTGCTATTTTCTGTTGATATTGTTGAAATTCCTGATATTAAATGTAGTAAGAGAATATTTCTCCCCTTTATAGGCTATAGTTTGGGATGAATACCTAACAGGACCATTTGGCCTGATTGCACAGTATTCACTACTGAAGGTAAATGAGCTGTTTGGGTTTTGTTAGGAGATTTACTTGAGTAATGATAATAGGATTTTACATCTCCTCCTTAGTAAGTGGTTTTCAAAGCTGTTTGGTCTTTATAAACACTGATACTAGTATATGATTAACATTTTGCGTATAATGATCCTTTGCTGTCTGTACTGATCCTAACTTTATGTTGTATGATCATTACCTGTTACCTTTGACATTGCATCCTGTGAGATTTCTTTGAATGCCAATGCAATTAACAGTGGCTTTATCATGAAACTTTGTTCATTATGCATTTGGCTTAGGGGTACTTAAATTTTGGTAATGAAGTATCAATGTGTACTTGATTGGGGATGTTTATCTCTGGATCTGGAAATGATAGGTAAATTTCAGCCTTTTCGTTAACTTTTTGTGAATTGTTTTCCTAGGAACATGAAGTGGAAAAAATGTTCACACTTAAAGGAAATCGATTGCCAGCAGCTGATGTCAAGAATATTATTTTTTTTGTCAGACCCAGGCTAGAATTGATGGATATAATTGCTGAAAATGTACTCAGGTATCTCAGAGCTTATGTTTGATGTAAAATAGGTTGATCTTTATAATGGTTTCAATGTGCTGCACCTCTTCTCATTGGAAATCTCCACTCTTGCGAGTGCATTGGAAGGTGGTCTTTTGGGAAACTGGGGCAGGCATGTAAAAATATAAAATAGGGGGTGAGAAATTGGTGAAGTTGTTGTAAATAGTTTGAGAGGAGGATCATCATATAATATGTTTTCAGGATAGCTGAAAGTTTGAACCTGTATCAGTAAAAAAAACCCTGGTTTAAAAAAAATAAAACCTCTGATGGTAATTTTTCAGTATACTGAATGTATGCTTGAATTTCATAAGCCAAAAAAGAGCTCATTACAATTTAATATAGCATCCAGTCAATAGAGGAAGTCTGTGCTCTGCAATAATTGATTGATGCGGCCCCTAATATCTTAAAAGCCATATGAGCTATTTTTAGAATTCCCCCGTTTAGGAGAGTAGAGGTGGGTGAAGAGTGATCATTCATTTTTCTCATAAGACTCTGTGTGACTGCACTGCTTTTGTCTTCAGTGAGACACTGATAGCTTACTGAAGACAGATATCCTATTTCAATAAACCTGAGAGCTTTAATGCCCTATAAATGGCTTAAGAGAATGCTAGAAGGTGCACCACAAAGTACTGGCTATGACTCAGCCCTGCTTTTCTGTCAGTGGGAAGAAAAAAGAGAGTGAGCAAGCAACTATGATGGTTTGTTTCTGAGAGTCAGTATTTCTGTATTTATCTAGTTAGCATTTATTTAGTGCCTGCTGTGTACCAGGCAGTGGGGATAAAAATAAGCAAAATGGTTTATGTCTCTTAGGAAGTTCATAAGCTAACAGATGTTCTTTACATTGCAGTGAAGACAGACGTGGCCCTGTAAGAGATTTCCACATTTTGTTTGTGCCACGACGTAGCTTGCTGTGTGAACAACGGTTGAAGGATCTGGGTGTTTTGGGATCCTTTATTCACAGGGAGGAATACAGCTTAGATCTCATTCCATTTGATGGGGATCTCTTATCCATGGAATCAGAGGGTGCGTTCAAAGTAAGTTTGGCATTTTCTCAACAGTGGACTTTAACTTTTGCCAAATTTATGAGTGTCAAAGTGTCACGTTATTCTTTAATTTGCATTCCTTGACTGCTGTGCAGCTGAGGGCTATTTTATGTTTATTGATGTTTAATATTTTCTCTTCAGCAAATTCCTTATTCATTTTCTTTGCCCATTTTTTTTCTTTTTGAGGAATTCTTTATATATTCCAGATATTAATCATTATAGGTTATAAAAACTGCAATAGCCAGCTCTGGTGGCTTGTGCCTGTATTCTCAGCTACCTAGGAGGCTGAAGTAGAAGGATCACTTGAGCCCAGGAGTTGAGCCCAACAAGCTGTGATCACACTTAAGAATAGCTACAGCACTCCATCCTGGACAACAACATAGGGAAAAAGTGAGACCCTGACAGTCCCTCTCTTTAAAAAAGAAAAAAGAAAGAAAGAAAATGAAAACTGCAAAATAGCTTCTCCCAGTCTGTAGGTTATCTTTTAGCTTTGTAATCTTTTTTTTTTTTGTCATGTAGACGTTTCCTATGAAAAATACTTAATCCCAGCTCTTTGGGAGGCTGAGGCCAGAAGATCGGCCTGGATAACACAGTGAGACCTGTCTCTCAAAAAAAAAAAATTTTTGAGACAGTCTTGTTCTTACTGCCTGGGTTAGAGTACAGTGACATGATCATAGTTTACTGTAACCTCAAACTCCTGGGTAAAGGGATTTCCTACCAGAGACTGCAGAGTAGCTGGAATTGCAGGTATGCACCACTGCACCTGGCTACTTTCTTTCTATTTTTCTAGAGTTAGGGAGTCTCCCTCTTGGTCAGGCTGGTCTTCAACTCCTGGCCTCAAACCATCCTCCTGCCACAGCTTCCCAGAATGCTAGGATTACAGGCATAAACAGCCACACCTGTCCTCTATAAAAACATTTTAAAAACCAGTTGGAGGATGGGCATGGTGGCTCATGCCTGCTCATAATCCTAGCACTCTGCAAGGCCAAGGCAGGTGGATTGCCTGAGCTCACAGGTTTGAGACTAGCCTGAGCAAGAGCAAGACCCCATCTCTAAATAGCCAAGCGTGTGGTGGTCTCAGCTACTCAGGAGGCTAAGACAAGAGAATCACTTGAGCCCAAGAGTTTGAGGTTGCTGTGAGCATTCTGCCAAGAGCAACAGGTGAGACTCTGTCTCAAAAAAATAAATAGTTGGGCGGTGCCTGTGGCTCAAAGGAGTAGGGCGCTGGCCCTATATATACCGGAGTTGGTGGGTTCAAACCCAGCCCCAGCCAAAAACTGCAAAAAAAAAAAGTCTGGGCAAGGTGGCTCACATTTGTAATCCTAGCACTCTGGGAGGTAGAGGCAGATTGCTTGAGATCACGAGTTCAAGACCAGTCTGAGCAAAAGTGAGATCCCATCTCTACTAAAAATAAAACTGAAGCAAGAGGATCTCTTGAGCCCAAGTTGGAGGTTGCCGTGAGCTATGATGCCATGCCACTGTACACAGGGCAACAGCTTGAGACTCTGTCTCAAAAAATAAATTAATTGATTAATTAATTAAAAATAAAAACCAGTTGGGCACAGTGGCATGTACTTGTAATCTGGGGCTCTGCCCAGAGAGTTGCTTCCACGCTGAGCCCAACTACAAGGCTGCTAACCTCATGGTCCCCCAGCTTCCCTAGCAGAGTGTGAAATAAATGAAATGATTTTATTATTTCATGCTGAACCCCAGCCTCAGGAACAGAGGCAGGCACCTGGTAGGCCCCTGGGAGATGACCATAGTCCGACAGTAACCACCTTTCCCTCCACAGGAATGCTATCTGGAAGGTGACCAGACAAGCCTGTACCACGCAGCTAAGGGGCTGATGACCCTGCAGGCTCTGTATGGAACAATCCCTCAGATCTTTGGCAAAGGAGAATGTGCTCGGGTGAGAACCTGCTGCTTTTGGATAGTGAAGAAGGGGGCTCCAGCATACCCCAAAGAGTGGGGAAGAATGGGGAACTCTTTATGAACAAATACAGTTAACCATTATTTACAAAATCTGCATTTGTGAATTTGCCTGCTTACTACAATGTATTTATAACTCCCCACGGCACTCACAGGGTTTGTGTGGACGTGCAAAGAGGTGAAAAGTTTCAGTTATACGTGGCTCATTCCATAGCTAAGATTGAACAGGCCGTCCTCTGTGGTCTTGTTTCAGCTCTTCCAACTGCAAACAAGTATCCTTTTCACAGTCTAATTAGTGTCACATTTTTCACACTTTCATCTTTTTTGTCAGGGATTTTGCTCTTTTAAATGGCCTTTTGGAATGGAAAAATCTGCTAATTCCCAGGAGGGTCACACCTGATCCAATGTTTTGTTTCCAGCAAGTGGCCAACATGATGATCAGGATGAAGAGAGAATTCACAGGAAGCCAGAATTCAATATTTCCTGTTTTTGATAATCTCTTGTTGCTTGATCGAAATGTGGATTTGTTAACGCCTCTTGCCACTCAGCTTACGTATGAAGGACTCATTGATGAGATTTATGGCATTCAGAACAGTAAGTAAAGTGATATCTGTTTTCACTAATAGGTAATATAATAAAAATGTCCTTGACCAGGCATGGTGGTTCATGCCTGTAAAACCAGCCTGAGCAAGAGCAAGACCCCCATTTGTACTAAAAATAGAAAAAATAGTTGGAAATTGTGGTACATGCATATAGTCCCAGCTAACTTGGGAGGTTGAGGCAAGAGGATAGCTTGAGCGTAGGAATTTGAGGTTGCAGTGAGTGAGGCTTGATGCCAGGGTGCTCTAGCCTGAGTGACAGAGTAAAACTCTGTCTCAAAAAAAAAATTCTTTATGTGGAGGCTGCCACTTTTATTTTACATACTTTAAGCATTATTTGAATTTTTTTTCTTTTTTGAGACAGAATCTCACTTTGTCACACTTGGTAGAGTGCCATGGCATCATAGCTCACAGCAACTTGAGTAGCTGGGGGTACAGGCACCCGCCAAAATGCCTGGCTAGTTTCAGAGATAGAGTCTCACTCTTGCTCAGTCTGGTCTCAAATTTCTGAGCTCAAGCAATACACCTGCCTCAGCCTCCCAGAATGCTAAGATTACAGGTGTGAACCACCTCGCCTGGCCTCCATTATTAAATTAAAGATCCAATTTTTTTTTTTTTTTTAAATCAGGATCTCACTCTGTCACCCCAGGCTGTAATACAGTGGTGTGATCATAACTCACTACAACCTTGAACTCCTGGGTTCAAGTGATTCTCCCACCTCAGCTTCCCAAGTAGCTAGGACTAGGTGTGAGATTTTTTTATGATTATAAAAGCATCTCTCTATATAAGAATTTTTCATCAGTCAGATTATTTTCTTTCCTTACATTCTTTGATGTAGGAATTTGGGGGCTAAAAGGTGTTAACATCGTAAGGCACTTGGTATATGTGGCCAAACAGCTTTACCAAAGAGTTACAAGTAGTTCACCAGAGCATGTGTGTTTTAGGGAAACAGATTGAATTGGTTTGGCAGGAGCTGAGGTGGAAGAATTAGATTAAGGCTACTCTGTAGAGGAACTGTATACCATGCTAAGGAATTCAGAAGCTTACCCTAGATCAGGGTAGACACCTTTTCTGTACAGACACAGATAGTAAATATTTTAGGCTTTTGCTGTTTATATAGTGTAGATTATACAGCGGAGTCTTCTTACCTCTGCCATTGGAATGTGAAAAGAAGCCATGGAAAACGTGAAAAGAATGAGTATGGCTATCTGCCAATAAAATTTTATTTACAGAAACAAGAAGTGGACAGAATTTGGCCCTCAGGCTATAGTTTCTGATCCTTGTTCTAGAGTGGCTTTCACTACTTTGGATTGCAACCCACAGAAAGAAATGTATTTAATATCATGACTTAGTGTATATACACATATATGTATGTACATGTGAAATGGAAACAAAAGTTTTATTCAAAAACACCACTGTCCCTTCCTTGATATGATGTGGATATGCTCTGGTATTTTTTATTCTATGCAGTTTATGTTACTGTTTTTTTGTTTTTTTTTTTTTTTTTTGAGACAG